CGGAGTCCGGGGCGTGGAGTCCGGGGCGTTCCGTTCAAACTAATGTTAAATAGCTGAAACGGGACGCCCCGGATTCCACGAGCTTCGGAGGGCGCGGAAGGGGGGCGTGGATCTAATCTTTGTGAGCAAAAATCTTGCCAGGCCTTAGAGCTAGTTTTGGCGCGAGCTATTTGGTCAGAGCTGTAACTTTGAATCTTAGCGATCCATGGGTTCTAAGATGCAAAGAGTGGAGTCCGGGCGTGGAGTCCGGGGCATCCCATTTCTAGCTAATATTATATAGCTGAAACGGGACGCCCCGGACTCCACGAGCTTCGGAGGGCGCAGAGGGGGGTGCGTGGAGCTAATCTTTATGATCAAAAATCTTGCCAGGCCTGGAGCTAGTTTTGGCGCGCGCGGGCGGGCCGGGGCGTGGAGTCCGTTTCAAATTAATACTATATAGCTGAAACGAGATGCCCCGGATTCCACGAGCTTCGGAGGGCGAAGAAGGGGGGGTGGACCTAATCTTTGTGACCAAAAATCTTGCCAGGCCTTGGAGCTAGTTTGGGCGCGAACTAGTTAGTCAGAGCTGCAACTTTCAAACTAATGTTATATAGCTGAAACGGGACGCCCCGGACTCCACGAGCTTCGGAGGGCGCAGAGGGGGTGCGTGGAGCTAGTCTTTGTGAGCAAAAATCTTGCCAGGCCTTAGAGCTAGTTTTAGCGCGAGCTATTTGGTCAGAGCTGCAACTTTCAAATTAATGTTATATAGCTGAAACGGGTCGCCCAGGACTCCACGAGCTTAGGAGGGCGCAGAGGGTGCAAGTGGAGCTAGTCTTTGTGATCAAAAAGGCCTTGGAGCTAGTTTTGGCGCGTGCGGGCGGGCCGGGGCGTGGAGTCCGGGGCGTTCCATTTCAAATTAATATTATCTAACTGAAACGAGACGCCCCGGATTCCACGAGCTTCGGAGGGCTAATAAACCTTGAAAGTCTGCGTAGAGGGTGCACGTGGAGCTAGTCTTTGTGACCAAAAATCTTGCCAGGCCTTGGAGTTAGTTTTGGCGCGAGCTATTTGGTCAGAGCTACAACTTTCAAACTAATGTTATATAGCTGAAACGGGACGCCCCGGACTCCAGGAGCTTCGGAGGGCGCAGAGTTGTGACCAAAAATCTTGCCAGGCCTTAGAGCTAGTTTTGGCGCGGGCGGGCGGGCCGGGGCGTGGAGTCCGGGGCGTCCCGTTTCGAACTAATGTTATATAGTTGAAACAAAACGCACCGGACTCCACGAGCTTCGGAGGGCGCAGAGGGGGTGTGTGGAGCTAGTCTTTGAAACTAAAAATCTTGTCTAGCCTTGGAGCTAGTTTTGGCACGAGCTATTTGGCCAGAGCTACAACTTTGAATCTCAGCGATCCATAGGTTCTAAGATGCAAAGATCGGAGTCCGGTGCGTGGAGTCTGGGGCGTCCTATTCAAACTAATGTTAGTCATATAGCTGAAATGCGACGCCCCGGACTCCACGAGCTTCGGAGGGCGCAAAGGTGGCGCGTGGAGCTAGTCTTCGTGGCCATAAATCTTGCCAGGCCTTGGAGCTAGTTTTGGCGCGAGCTATTTAATCAGAGCTACAACTTTGAATCCTAGCGATCCATGGGTTCTAAGATGCAAAGAGTGGAGTCCGGGGCGTGGAATCTAATGTGTTATAGTTGAAACGGGACTCCCCGGATTCCACGAGCTTCGGAGGGCGAGGGCGCAGAGGGAGCGCGTGAAGCTAGTCTTGTGACCAAAAATCTTGCCAGGCCTTGGAGCTAGTTTTGGCGCGAGCTATTTGGTCAGAGCTGCAACTTTGAATCCTAGCGTTCCATGGGTTCTAAGATGCCAAGAGTGGAGTCCGGGGCGTGGAGTCCGGGACGTCTCGTTTCAAATTAATGATATATAGTTGAAACGGGACGCCGCGGACTCCACGAGCTTCGGAGGGCGCAGGGGGGGGTGAGTGGAGCTAGTCTTTGTGACCAAAAAGCTTGCCAGGCCTTGGAGCTAGTTTTGGCGCGAGCTATTTAGTCAGAGCTGCAACTTTAAATCCTAGCGATCCATGGGTTCTAAGATGCAGAGAGTGGAGTCCGGGGCGTGGAGTCTGGGGCGTCCCGTTCCTTCTAATGTTATTTCGCTGAAATGGGACGCCCCGGACTCCACGAGCTTAGCAGGGCGCAGAGGGGGTGCGTGGAGCTAATCTTTGTGACCAACAATCTTGCCAGGCCTTGGAGCTAGTTTTGGTGCGAGCTCTTCGGTCAGGGCTGCAACTTTGAATCCTAGCGATCCATGGGTTCTAGGATGCAAAGAGTGGGGTCCGGAGCGTGACAATTCATTTTATTGTCACCTAACTTCGTCAATTGGTGAAATTATCCATTCGAATTCTACGCCCAAAAGCACTAATTTAGAATCTCCAGAGATACGTAGAATTCTTAGCAAATAATCCGGTCGTCAACAAAATTCAAATACTATCAGACGACTCTAAGCTCCCAGGTAATACATTAAAACCCATCACCTCAAAGGTATAGAATCGTGCCACAAGCAGGAGAAAGAAGACGACCCAAATGAGATCAAGACATTCAATCAACGTGAAATAGAAGAATATATCAAGTTCATATGTCGTATTCGACAAGTGACTTCTGACTTGTCCACTTTCAACTAACGTATTTCGTATTCGGCGAATGGGTTTCGATACATTATATTTTGCTATTGAGATCCATCGAAAATTTTCGGATGGTGCCCGCATTTATCGAGACACGGTGGAGCAGTCATATCATAGATATCAAGATTATCCATTGATAGCACCGTTATTTTATTTAATACGTGCTCGATGGGCGACAGAAGCTAAAGTCAATTCTAGACGACCATTGCCGGAGTTTCAGCCTGAATATATCGATGATGCCTTCTCTGGAGGGGACGTTATGGATGCCTTGGAGGCTTCTATTAGGAATTGAAATTGGTCGAGGCATATAGTATGCGTTCCGATTTATCAAAATGTATATTATATTTGTTGGCAGACGATGGCTTTAGGGGGGATATTTCGGGATTTCAGATCCTCGGAATTCGTGTTGTTATTGGCATAGAGGTGGTCGTGCTCAAGGTGCCGGTGACGGGGTCAGATGCCTTTCTCAAGGAGTTTCGATAGAACAAGCAGCTCCAAATGGAGAGATTGCATTCTTGTTTGGAGGGATTTTCCCAGAGTCACATTACGTTCCATTTGTTACGACTCACTGCATCGTTCGGGCGCGTACAATACTTGTATCGGGTTATATCAAGAACATCATAGATACGTGATTAATGGCCGATTCGTTTGGGAGGATTTGAAATTGGGACCGGACGTATTGAGCAAAGCATACATGTGCTACCTCTCTGCTTGCAGATAGGGTTTTGTAGGTCTCAAAAACATAAAGTGTGTTTATGAGTTTTGCATAAACAACACGTCTGCATTGTTGGCATTTTCGGGAGCTGATTTTCTTGCATGTCTTTGTTTGTCACAGTGCCAGAGTCTGGCTGTATTGTGAGTTTCAGACAAAGCATGTGATGCGCCGCTCGCTCCATCTCAAGTCAAGGTAGCTGGCCATTGTGTTTGGCCATCAAGATTTCTTTGTTGGGCTTGGTTTTGCTTGAACCTTGTGTGGCCCCAAACAGGTTCGTGTCTACCAGGCCCTCACTCAACCAGGGGTGCAGCGCGTGCAGTTCCGTGCGTGGGTGGCTGTCCAGGGCCATCGCCGCACGAAGAGCAGTAGTTCACTGACTTGTCAGTGCATGGTTGCTGCGCCTGTGCGTCTTCGTGCTGCAGCTGCTAGGCAGCGCCTTTCCCTTTTGCCTGCATCCCCAGCTACCATCCCTGGTGGCCGGTGCCGTGATTGCACTATCTGTCTGTGTGGCTTTACCTGTGGCATCCTTGCATTTGCAGCATTCTTGTGTGCCATTTGAGTGCCATGCCATTGCGTTCCTTTGCAGTCGTTTTGACAATCCTGCTTCCTTGCAACTGGGCAGTCCGTGATACCAGTACTCCCGACATTCCTCACGAGGGGCCTCTCTCAGACAGCGATGCGCCAGACCCTCATGGCTTGGAGGGGGAGTTTGCCTTCATCAACCCTGCTGAGTCTGCACCACCACCCTCTTTCACTGTCTCTCGTGATAGGCTTTGTTGCTTAGTTGGTCGTATGGTCTCACTTTCGGGGTCTGCATTGCAGGAATGCACCCTCGCCGATTTGCAGCAATTGGCTCTGCTCTGCCGTGACGCAGGGCGTTTCTCTTCTCTATCGGCAGAGTCCATTTCATTCTTGCATTCTGTGGTTGATGCCCCCACGGACTCGCTCATTTGTGTCCCCTCGACCTCGGTGCCTGTTGGTGCTTGCCCCCCTTTTGGGCCCTCGTCGTCTTCACTGACCTTGGCAGACGTACCACTGCTGCTGCAGGCCCTTGAAGGTCGCGTCTCTGCTCTTGAGGACGCATTGGGTACGACATCAAGTGATCGTAGTCCGCGCCGATCTGTCCTCAGGCGCTTGCAGGCCCTTGAGAGGCATGGATAGTGTTCTCCTCTTGCACCCTCCACTGTGTGGCCAATTGTTCAGGCGCTGCTTTTTCAGGCGCGGGTTTTGGGGCCACTTGTCAACATACTCTTTGAGCAGCGGGTTAAAAGGGTACCACATGTTTCAGCTCGGTTCTGTGGGAGGTCGGAGCTGCCACATGGACTTTCGGCTTGCTGGGTCGTGTTTTCGAGCAACCTTTGGATGTGCTGCAGGGCCTGTGGTTCAATGGTGAGTTTTCCTCTAGGTTCTTTACTCACCCCGCCCCCCTTTTTTTTCCCACCTTAATCCCAGCAATTTGGTCCTTATGGGTTACTTGTGCACTAAGATTGAGTCTTTCACCACGACAGACTCTCTGCCTGTGCCTGGTATGCGAGTAGCGGTTTGCATGTTGTAAGGCCTTTGGCCTTTTAAGAAACTGCCATGGATCCTCCAGCAAGGTCCCCGCTCCATGCACTGGCTGCTGAGGCTATGGCCACAGTCAGCATGACTGGTGACTTAGTGATGCCATGGGATATCGCGCCCTTCAGAGACATATTTGGGAGCCCATCGCCTGTGCTTCCGCGGATGGTTGTGACCTCGAATGAACTTGATCTTGCTCGGGCACCTGCTGTGGACACGCAAGCACGTGGGCCTGAATTTCCAGTCCATCAAGCTGTCTACATGTCGGTTGCCAGGCTGATGGTTTTCTCGGCAAAGAGATGTACACCTGAGGATAGACGTGAGTTGGTATGTAAAGGTTTTCTTGATGTCCTTACGAGATACCCGCGTGGGTCGACTTTGGGGCCAATGCTTGAGGCAGCCACATCTTACGTCGAGCAGTTGGCCATCGTCTCAGAGACACTCGCTGGGAAAGCCAATACGACCCTTGAAGCACGGCTGCGCCAGCTCAGGAAGTACCTCCGGAATCTTGTTGATGATGGCTGTGAGGAACCTCTTCCTATTACAGCCCATTTTTTCCGAGTTCACCTAAAGGTGTTGCTCAAGCAAAAGGTCTCCCCAACGGCAATCGAGGCTGCCTTTGAAGTCGTCAACTTCGCGAAGCATGTTCTGGGAGTTACAGTTGAGCCATCAACATTGGACACTCCGTGGGCACGTGGTATCCTTCGGGGTGCTCGCCAGGATCGACCTCAGCGAAAGCAGGCTCGTGCATTGACGGTACAGGAGCTGCTGCTTCTTGAGGCTTTTCTTCGAGATGCATCGGCACGTATTGAGGACAGGTACGCGTGTGGGTGCTTCCTCTTTTGCACTTACGCGCGGGCACGCTGGGGTGATGTCATTTCTGTGTCGCAGTTCCTTCAAGATTTCATTAGTGATGGTGGCGCAGTTTGTGGTGGCTACGTGGAACTACAAAGTCACTCGCATAAGCTGCGCAGGAAACATGGTGCTATGCCACTGGTGGCACCTGTTTTTGGTGTGGGCGCGACTCCATGGGCTGTTGAGTGGTTGAAGGTCTCTCAGACGTGTGGCTGTCCCCTGCAGGCCATTGGACAAAATCCTGTTGCACTCCTGCAGCTACCCTCCATCGAAGGCGGGTGGAGCCATGAGCCTTGTGTTACGAAGGACGCACGATGCTGGCTGCGCTCACTTTTGGAGCGCCTGGTTGGGCCGCTTTTTCCTTGGTCGCCACCAGGTGCACATTCGATGAAGGCGACCCTTTTAGCCATGCTAGCAAAATTTGGAGCTTCTGAGGCCGACCGCCTCGTGCTGGGCCACCATTCTGACCTCACCGGCAGTTTGGCAGTGTACAGCCGTGACCTGCAGGCAAAACCCTTGCGAGCCCTGGAAGCCTGCCTTGCTGCTGTCAGGGCGAAGACGTTTCTGCCAGATGTTAGTCGGTCTGGGTATTTCCCGGTCTCGTGGAGTGTCTCAGGTGGGGAGGCTGTCGAGAGTGGAACCTTACCGGAAAGTATCCTACCTGGTGTGCCTGCAGAATTTTTCGGCCCGGCTGCCCTTTCAGATGGCGTAGCAAGCTCACGAGTTCAGCTGGAAGCGAGCACTGAGGATGCCGTGGGACCTCTTGATGGTGACGATTTGGATGGCCCCATTCCTTCTTGTGCTGACCCTGAGACGGATCTTCCATGCGATGTCCCCGCTAGTTCAGGTCCCCCGCCTCAAGGTGGGGTAGACAGCACAGACGAGAGTTCTTCCTCATCCTCGTCGGATTCGAGCAGCGAAGCTGGCGAGGAGCCCCAGGCGAATGCCCCGGCCCTTCGACCACCTCCAGCGTGGCGTGAGGGATGCACAGTATGGAGGCATTCGAAGACTGGTACCTTGCACTTGGCAGCGAGTTCGACATCTGCAATCGGAGGTGTGTTCGTGTGCGGCCGCTCGATCACCAGTGTGTTTAGACTGAATGCTAATCACTGTGTCCTTGAGTCATCTCGTTGCAATCAGTGTGATCGTGGCAGACACATTAGAACACCCGAGCAGTTGTCCTTGCAGCTTGAGGCTTTAGTCAAGAGGCAGCGCGTTGAGCCTTAAGCAGCAGTGCTGGGCAGTTGTGTGCTCAGGTTTTGTGCTGTTGGCCAAGCGTTGGCAAGTTTTCACCGCGGTGGTGCGCAGCATACCACGATTCTCGAGACGCGTGGGGTTTGCGTGGCGGCAGTGTCGGTGCCTGCCACTAACCATCGTGCCGTCCGGGCTGGTGTGTTGTGTGCTCTACTCCATTTGTATACCGTGGGATTGTGGCGGCAGTGTCAGTGCCTGCCAGTGTGTCCCTGCTGCGGGTAGTCTTTACCGTTTACCTGCAGCTCACGAGTGATGAAAGATCTGCATGCCGTGCACGCTGAGTTGTTCCTGACACTTTGTGCCTTTAGTCTGCTTGTCGTCTGTGCTTAGTTTTCGGCTGCAACTTGTACGGCACAGGTAGGTCCCATGGCATCGATTTTGGATTCCACTGCCACTTTCGAGACGCGCGCTAAGGAGCATGGCCTCCCGGCCTCAACAGTGGCCATTCTGCTAGCCCGCGGGGTTGATACTCTGAATAAGGCGGCTTTTGCTGTGGGCACGCCGGGCTCGCAGGCTACTGAAGAGGAGCTTCGTGCACTTGTTGCGCCGCCAGCTACGGCCGAAGATGAGGAGGATCGAGCGGAGGTTTCCGCTGGTGTGCTTGCTTCCCTGCGTCGCCTCATCTTCGAAAGCCAGACCATGGCCTTGGCCAACCTCAAGTTGCAGGTTGAAGGTGGTGACGCAGATCGTAAAAAGGACATGCCATTGGAAGAGATTTCAACTCGCCTTAGGGATCAGAAAGCCAGGCTTCGTGGTCTCGAGTTGTCTGGCGCTCTCGAGGTGAGTCATTCTGCGTATCAGCTTGTTTTCCGTATGTTTCAGGAGAACGCCATCTCCTACTTGAAGCTTGAGCGCTTTGGGACTAGGGCAGCTGAGGTAGCCCAGGAGCGGTCCCCGAAGGAACTGGTTGTTGATGCGACGTCACATCTTCAGGTTCGTAGTGCTCCGGTCCGTGATGCTTGTGTCCTATCCTCAGATTTAGCCCTAGCACAGGCCCTCACCCGGCGCAGCTTGGCACTGGATCTCGTGGGCCTCGCTTCCTTTGAGCATGCTGAGAACTGGTCCCGTACGTTGCTGAACCAGCTGCAAATGCACCCGCCCCCAGGCTTTAGGGCTGCTACACATGAGCAGCTCCTGCGTGCCGACAGGGCCGCCTTTCAGTACATGGCCGAGACTTTGTCCACGCTGCGCAAGGACCCTGCGGGCCTGTTGCCCATGGACGAGGCCTTTCAGCGTTTGCAGGCGCAGCACCAGGTTATGTTCCACCTCCTGCCTATGCCGGGGTCCTCTGGTGGCGTTTCGCGTCCAGCGCGCGGTACGTCAGCTGAGCCAGTTGCTTCCTCAGTCGGGGCTCCTGGCCCTTCCACCAGGCGCAAAAGGAAGCGTGCTGGTAGTGCACCGCCACGTGCCGCAGGAGGAGGCTCTGCCCCCCCTCCACCGTTGCCTGCAGCCCCCCGTCCGGCTGGTACTCGCAAGGATTCCCAGTCCCAGTCTTACACCAAGGCCCCTTCCGCTCTTCAGGGTATGCATAGCAAGACGCCTGAGGGCCGGCGCATCTGTTGGGGTTATAACTTGGCAAAGGGCTGCCCTAACGGCGACGATTGCCCCCGTGGTCTTCACGTGTGCATGATGCCCGGGTGCTATCAGAAACACTCCTTGTGTCAGCACCCGGGCCGGTGAGTGCTGCAGCCCGTTGGGCCTGCCTTGACGACCTTTGCCGCTCGGCTTCGGGCTAGAGTGCGGGGCCGGCCCCTCTCATCACTAGTTTTTGTCGAAATTTTCGCCGGGACAGCCGCTTTGACTGCCGCGGTTCGTAGGATTGGGTTGGGTGATAGTTTTGGGGTTGACTTGCATGTGCGTAGAGCTGTGCTTGGTCCACTCCTGCGGCTTGATTTGTCCGATCCTGCTGGCAGAGATGCCCTCGAGGCTATCTTGCGCCTGGATTCCGTTGTTGCAATGCATTTGGCCCCCCCGTACAACACGGCATCCCGAGCCAGGGATCGTCGTCGGCGTACTGGTCCCGACCCTCCATAATTACGTTCTGACCTTTTTCCAGATGGTTTGCCGTCTTTGCCTGCTGCGTCGCAGTCCCTTGTGGATGCAGCAAACGATTTGTATGCATATTCGGCTTGGCTGTTCCAATTTTGCTTTCATGCTGGCATTTTGCCATCTGCTGAGAACCCTGGGCGATCCTATCTGTGGCAAACATCACAGTGGGCTCCTGTTCGTGCGTTGCCCGATCTTGTCTGCACCTTCTGGCATCATTGTATGTTTGGCAGCGGTCGTGACAGGTACACGCAGCTGCAACACCTTGGTACTCACCTGCAAGGCTTAGGCAAGTTGTGCTCCAAAGACCATGTTCATGCTCCTTGGGGGCGGGACCCTGCCACTGGGGTTTGGGGGTCCGCTTCGAACTCTGCTTACCCCCCTCAGCTTTGCAGGGCTTGGTCTGAGTGTCTCTCTGCTGAGCTCTTGCATCACGGTGCACAGCCCCGCCCTCGCGACCTCCAGGGTCTTGACGTGCACCATGTGTCTGCTGCTGCCCAAGCGGCGGCCGCTCAGCGCCAACCGCGTTCCAAGCGCCTGCCTCCCCTAGTTCCCGAGTTTAGGCTTGTGGTTACCCTAGTGGGTCCCGCCTCTACCCTTGACTTGCCTGCCAAGCTGCCCGAGGCTGTCTCGCTGCCGCCCCAGGTCAAATCGTCGCCGTCTGTGGCTCTGCTTCCGAGAGGTTCTCGCCGTCTTGCTCTGACTTTGCCTTTGGGGGATGTCGGTCAGAGCGAACCCGATCGTGCTGGACTTGAAGCTCAGTCGGCCCCTCCGTTCCCTATGTCTGCCGGCCTGTCTGATGATCAAGCCCGGGCCCTGCTGAAGGTCCTGGGCGAGGCTTGCTCCGAGGACCTCTCCTCCCGTCGTCCAGGGGTCCTTAAGGCTTCGGGGAGTGGTACTAAGGGGTCTAGGTATTTTGTCTTTGGGGCATACAACCATGGTTCAAGGTCGGGCCTCACAGCGTACACTAAAGGTCGAGAGAAAGCTGTTGGTGTCATCAACTCTTTTGCGAAGGCCTTGTTGCCGCATGCCACTTGGACCTCGATTGCTGTGTCGCATAACGAGCTCGCGTTGCCACACAGGGATAGCTCCAATGAGGTAGGCTCCTTGAACCACTCGATGACGCTGGGAAGTTTTACTGCTGGCCGCCTTTTCCTCGCAGGTGGTGGCGGTGACGACCTCCTCAGCGACGCGACAGGAGTGGAACATCGTGGGTTCTATGTTGACAACCATGCCAGGTTCGCCACCTTTGACGCAAGGTCTGTGCTGCATGCAACTGAGGAGTGGCAAGGTGACAGGTGGGCTGTTGTTTTATATACGTGTAAGGACCCGCACTTTGACAAGTCTCATCTTGATGCCTTGTGTGAAATGGGCTTTCAGCCCCCTTCCCATTGGAGCAGTCCAGTTGGGGCTGAACCTGTGTATGCTGCCTCCGCCGTGTATGGCTTACCGTGGTCCCCTAAGGAGTTCGTTGAAGAGGCTGCTGCCAGGGAGCACCCACTGCAAGCTTGTGTCGTC